TCCCTTCCCAGAAAGCTGACAAAAAAATAATTGCGGCTGGGTTCAAAGAAGGGGTCCAATCACTTCCAAACATCTGGAGTAGAAACTCTCTACTGATTATGATCAAGGAAGGCATCTATTTCTAAGAAAGTTCAAGGTGCTGACAACTTTATAGACAAATGCATAAGCGTATATAGGCCAATTGACATCAGGATCTTGCAGAACTTGTACGCCAATAACACAGTGGCAACTCAGTACTGTCCCAAATTTCAGCCTATTAGCACACTTTACTTCAACGTACGTATCCTTATCGTACGGTGCTTTCAAAAAGGATGCCAGATTGTTTACCTTTTTACACGTGTGGCATTATTCTTACTAACTCATGGGTGTTTCAGGAGACGTTCTGTTCTTTTGGAACATTTCATACCACGTATGGGTTTAACAGCTTTAAGTGGGCTGGTCTCATAAGAGACTCCTGTTAGCTAACACCTCTCCATCACCCTTAACACAATTCCATTATCTTTCAAAATCCTGGCCTTTCCCCTTTTCCTGCTTCCTTTTCCCCATCTATTAGCCACCTTATCTTTATCTCCTTCCTGTCTTCAGGTTTCACTCCTCTCCCCTGGCAGCCTCTGGTTGGGAAACCTATGGCCCAGTTGCCTGGTGGAGAACCTGCAAAGACTTGCAGGGAGCTCCTCACTTTCCCTTGTCTCTCCCTCCCCACACAATTTCTTCTTTCCTTCCTCCTGGCAGTCCCCATACCCTCTCCTTTTCTTGCTTCCTTCTCTTCTTCTCACACTCCCACCAATCTACCTTTTATTTGCCCCCTCACCTGACTCTTCCCAACCAGCTCAGTGACCTCAACTCAGAGTCCTCAGGGGAAGAATCCGAGGAGCCGAGATTGGTGGCTGAGGAAGGCTGGAGGGACCAGCACTGCAGAGGCCCCTGCTGACAGTAAACCACCAGTGCCAGAGCCTGCAAGGGAAACCTTGCGACTGGCCTCTAAGACAACTGCTAAGCCTTTGCCATACAGGACTCAGCCCCAAACCTGTAGCCCCCCCCACCCCCCCCCCCCCCAAATCTCTCCTATTCCACCGGCATGGCGGCAAAGTCTTAGTGGCCCACCTTTCTCCCTAATGGGGGACCTAAAACAGCTGACATGATTTTCTTCATCTCCATTTTATCCACACAACAACCTTGTGAGGTTGGTTAGGCTGAGAGTATGTAACTGGCTCAAGATCACCCAGTGAGCTTCTATGGCAGATTAGGGATTTGAACCTTGGTCTGCCAAGTCCTCCTCTGGAACTGTAACCACTACACCACACTTGCTTTTGTGCGGCAGTAAGCTGCAGCTGGGCCTGGGTGAGTCACGGAACTCACATGGTCCCAAGTTGCCTGATGGAAAGGATCCTCTTCTGCCTCCTGGGGACAGAAATCAAGGCTGAAGAGGATGCCAATAGTATTGTGGTTGCCTAGCAATGGCCACTGAGAGGATCTGTTTCTTAAAGCTACAGCTGCCGCTTCTATCATTGGGGGGGTGAACCCCCAATAATTTTGGTTTCTTAAAAAAATATTTTGGATTTTTCTGCAAACCTGGGGCTTTTGTTAGGTTGTAGAATGATCTGCCTTGTCTATTCATGGCTTCATTGTTCGGATTTATGTATCCACATGGGGAACACTGAGAATAAGACACATTATAATAATAATGGAATGGTTCAGGAGGGTGCTTTTTATAAAGGGAACGGGACTGTGAACTGTGTATAGTATATATTATCTGTTTGTTGCATGTGTCACCTTGCCCTCACTACATTGTTTTCTTATGTAATACCATTTTCTGTACATCATATCTAATACCTATGCTTGCAGAGTGCTTTTGAATTTCCTTGTGCATGTCTTGATGGCAAACACTGTGAATAGTGTTAAGCTTTGAAACAAGAGACCCGGCTTTGATACCTGCCCGTTGAGCATCAATTTGCAAGGATGAATCCAGAAGCATCTCCTATCTTTTTTCTTTTGGTATTTTTTTGTATTTTTCATATGTGCATGTGTGTCCACGTGTGTTTGTGCACCTGGAAGTCATGGCGACCTCTGGTGACTGATGCCTGGAGAATATTCAGAGAGGTGGCTGAATAAAACTTGCCCCCACCTCCCGACTGCTGGTATTCCAAGGAGGTCTCCCATCCAAGTATTTGCCAGATTTAACCCTGCTTCGCTTCTGAGATCTGATGAGATCAGGCTTGCCTGGGCTATCCAAGTCAGGGCAAGCATCTCCTATCTTATTTGGTGAAGCCCTCACTGATCTTATAAGGAATGAGCTTCATTTAGCACATGGATTTGAAATAATTGCTTTGCAGTGCAATCCTGAGTACAGTTATACCCTGGCTTGAGAAGGATGTGACTCTTCTTGCTTCATTTGGTCCAGAATCCCAGGAAGAAACAGTTGGGTGTTATATGCATGTGGAGAATGCTTCACTCCAAATTTCCAGACAAGAAATGTTGTTGGGATTCTTATTAAGTCAGCAGAGTAAATATTAAGAGACTGAGTCCATGGTGTGTTTAAAATATTAGAGTTTACTATCAACCTAACATGGGGAAAAAGTACACAGGATATGAAAATAAGAAAGAGCTAATATGGCTACATCCTTACAGCTACAGGTAAAACGCAGGAGTGGTGGCGACTTCTTCTTCAATCAAAACAAAGACAGGAAGAATAAGTCAATTTGCTAAATACTTGACACATTGGTTTCCAATCAGACTATTAAGTTAGCTCCAGGCATTCTATTGTCTAAACAGATTGGTTACAAACAAAACATGTGACTTCCTGTTGATCATAACAAACATCATTAACCCTGTAAATACTGAAGTGGTTTACACCCAACAAATGTAAAAAGCACGCGCGAGGGGGGGGGTTAGTGGTTTTTCCAATTAAAACAACAGCTTTTCCAGTGAAAACAACAGTCTAGTGTGCTGATTTTTGTTTTATGTAGGACAATCCACAGACTGAAAACAGATACTCACTTCTGGGTGTACAATAGATACATACAATAAACGATTCAAA